TTGCACAACATTAATTTTTGGTGGAGGTGCGGGGTAGGCTTGTAAATTACAGCCTACTCCATCTAATAATTGTAGTCAAAGGGCTGCATGATCTGGTTATGTTTTTGACTTTGTTGTTTTCGTGTTTAGAATTTCTTTGTTCTCTGTTGATTTTTGAAATTGCGTTCGTAGGCCCCGATTTTTAACTTTAGTCGCATTCGTGCGATTGTTAGGGTGAAGTCGTCTTTACGTTCGGCTTTACTAGGTTAGTTAGGAAGTTGAGTTCTTTTAATTAATTTCTCCTTATTGAAAGAATGAGCATTGGCTCGGAAGCGCTTCACTCGGCGTCCGAGTTTGAGGCAATGGTCGAGGTCTTAAGGAAGGAGATCTGTTCAATTGAGGAGGCTGCGGGGGTGCGCAAGAGGAGCGCGCAGATGGCGTGCTCAGTGTGCCTCCTCCGCGTGTACGGGGAGCCCGGGGCAGCCGAAGACGGCACATCGAGGGTGAGTCCTGGCCTCGGGCGCCACCGGTTCTACCTGTTGGAGGGCTGCACGTGCAAGGACACTTGCATGTGCGTCTCCTGCGGGCGCGACTGGAGGGCCATGGGCAGGTGGGACTGCCCCACCTGCAGGCGGTTCGCGCCCATGGGCATGCCATGCTCGGTTTTCCTATCGGACACGACCGAGGCGGGGGTGGGGACCAAGTCCACGTACATGAGCTTAATGGTCCGTCAGGCCGCCCTCACCCCGTGCAAGGCGATATTTCTCGCTCACGGGCGTCAAGGCGAGTGCCCCTGGCAGAGGATCTGCCCTTTCAGTCATTGTCTGAAGGACGGGACTGATCTGCAGCGGGGAGAGCCTACTAAGGACTGTGTGGACATGTGTTTTCTGCTCCCGGAGGATGTCATTCACTTGCTCCCGGGGCCGCCTGGTCCTATTTTCGAATGGTTCGAGTATAGGATGCGGGAGCTAGCAGGGAGTTGTCCCGGCCTCGACGAGCAGCTGCGCCACCTTATGGTGGAGGCCCTGCGGACTCCAGTGCTGTCTGCGGACGAGCACCCGGAGCCTGCAGTACTTAGATCGCAGTCAGAGTTTGTTGCAGGAGGACTTCCGCTAATGATTGGTTTGTCCCGACAACAGCGTGACCACCCCGTGTGGGACTTCATGATCTGGCGTTATTATGACGATATCCAGAGGGGAGAGGTTCTGGAAAGATTTCGCGACTTTCAGTCGCGGCAGGGGGCGCTGCAGGCGCAGGACGCCGCGCGGCCCGAGGCCAATATGGCTATCGGGGCCGAGGCGCTGGGAGAGGAGGTGGCAATTCTGCTTACCTCGGATGAGGAAGACTGAGTGGAAACGGTCTTCGTCTGGTTGAAATCTGGGGGGAAGGGGAGTGTGCGGCAGGTTGCCTACCCTGTAGAATCTTAGGGGGATTTATTCGGTCGGCCTCGTCATTGGCTGCCGCCCGGTGCGGCCGCCGCGGTGTGCGAGCGCGTGCCGACGGAATAACGTTGGTTGGTCTGCTGAGTATACGTGCCCAGCAGATCACCTTAAACCGTACAGCCGTGTCCTCGCCACCCTGCCACACGCGGCCCGGGGCGGCGTGGAGACGCGAGTGTCGCCTGTCGTAGAGAGTAGGACACTTCCTTAAGACGGTTTCGGTAGTA